ACATGCAGATTAAGTTTGGTGCTCCTGGCCAACAGTTCAACTGCTTGCATTCAGCAGGAGCTCCACATACACTAGTAGAGAAAGGATAAATCCTTTTTGTATTCCCCTCTCGCAACTGCTCTGAATTGCTTTGTGTTTCTGTTTTCTCAGGACTGATTAATCTCTGCTATTTTTCAGGACAGGCGTCCTCATAGCGACACGAAAGCTGCTTTATATTCTGCTACGGCAGGGGTGTCAAACTCAATTTCATCACGGGCCACATCAGCATTATGGTTGCACTCAAAGGGCCGGTTGTAACTTTAAGACTATATAAAAAGATATATAAATATTGAATATATATAAAATAATGTATTATATATTACATTATTGCCTCTGCATTGGATTATTATCGGATAGGGTAATAAATTCATAATTAACTACGTCTGAAAGCAGAAGTCAAGGGCAAATAATTGCAAGAAGTGACATTTTGAAAAAGAGAAGTGACATTTTGAAAAAAAATCTATTCATGAGAAAAAGGCTAATTCTAAGAAAAAAGGCATATTTTTTGACAAAAAAAGTCAAATTCTGAGAAAAATGCATTCTGTATGTTGAAGAAAAAAGTAAAATTCTGAGAAAAAGTCAAATTTGAGATGCATTGTGGGACATGTCGTTTATGGGCAACGTGCTTCTGTAAAGTAGCATGTAACCGTATAATATATTATATTCTTTGCAAGCTCTTGTGGGGCCACATAAAATGAAGTCGCGGGCCGGATTTGGCCCCCGGGCCTTGAGTTTGACACCCTGCTCTAGAACAAAGCAATCAAGCGCTAAAGTGTCGATGCGGATGTAAGTGTCAAACTCAAGGCCCGGGGGCCAAATCCGGCCCGCGACTTCATTTTANACACACACACACACACACACACACACACACACACACACACACACACACACACACACACACACACACATTCTCATTTTGCATCATTCTTGCTCGCTGTGTGCCTTTTGCTTGTGTTTGAAAGCGTTCAGACTTAATTGTCTTTAATGAGTACACTGATAGCCAATCAAATCTGTTATTCAAATCGGTGCTCTTATGTCAGTGACCTATATCTCATGCATGTGCGCCAAGAGCCCACAATAACCTCTCCACCAGACCAGACCAGACAGCATGGGGATCGACGGGCTAGACCAGGGGTGTCAAACTCAATTTCATACCGGGCCACATCAGCATTATGGTTGCACTCAAAGGGCCGGTTGTCATTTTAATGATATATAAATATACATATGTAAATATATAATATATATTAAATAATGTATTATATTACATTGTTGACCCTGCATTGGATTATTATCAGTTCTGGTAATATCTTCCTAAATAACTACGTCTGAAAGCCAAAGTCTAGGGCAAATAATTGAAAGTAAATATTCAACAATTACACCAATTGTATTGTATATTATATTCTTTGCAAGCTCTTGCGGGCCACATAAAATTAGGTCGCGGGCCTTGAGTTTGACACCCCTGGGCTAGACAATCAAGCGCGGCCGCCCAGCGGAGTGTCCCGGGCTGAGGAGCCAGCTGCAGAGCCTCACACGGAGCAGTTTTTTGCCTGTGCCAGGGTTTGGGAAATGGGGGTTTGGAGGTGATGTTTGCCAGAAAATGGAGGAGAACGTGAATAAGTGTGGCATCTGAGATCATCTTCTGCTTTGTTAGCCTCTGATTTTAGGTTGGACCTTGTATGTACAGTTTGTATACACTATGTGCTTTGGGTTTGTACACGGTAACAGAGTGCACTTCCAGACGGTGACTGCAATCATCTTCCTCTATGTGCTTCTTTGAAGGTAGACTGAGGATGCAGGCTTTAGTGAAGTAATTGCATGAACAACCATCATTTTATAGGACTGTGAATACTGTTACTTGCATGTTGCCATGCTACTATTTCTTCTGATGCTTGGCAACAATATGCTCTCAGGTTTTGTGTTTTTATAGTTTTGTGCACATTGCTCTTCATTATGCAGTCCCATCCACCTGCAAAAATCTATAAAACCACAGGATGTCCTAAAAGGAGGAGATAAAGCAAACTTGGCCATCTTTTTTTAATGTTTTATGTTGTTATCCTTGATTTTTTTTATTTCGTCTCCATCCCTGATACTGAGAAACTATTACTGTCAATTAAAGGGTTATTCGACACATCTCTCCTTTTTTATTAATCAATTGATAGTTTTTGTTTTTGTGTTCAACCATGGTGGCTGTCACTCCTTATTCTAACCATGTTCTTCTGTAACTGGAACAGTATAATTCCCTGTTCTACAACTAATTATCCAACATCCCCACCCTACCTAAAAATGGTCTACTCTGTACTATAGAATCATATGGGGAAAGCATTGACAAAAACAGATTACAGAGCGTATTCAAGACGTATAGCACCAAAAAGACCAACCTAATTGGAGGTAAAACATTTTACCAGGACCTCCGAGAATGAACCGCTGAGAATGAGCAAGAGACAGGTGGGAACAGCAAAGATATAGAAGCATGTCCAGACGGGAGACACCACACTGGGCGGTTGAGAATTTCTGATTTAAGATCTTGTAGTCCTTCCAGACGAACCATTTGGAAATGTGGTAATGGCTAAGGAACGGAATGTGGTGCTGGTGATAGGTCGACCTCTCTTAAAGGTGCAAGTCAGCGATTCTAATTCAATACACTTTGTGAAATTTGGAGTATGTCTTCATAGGCCGCTAGCTGTCCATTCTATGCGTGCTGATGCTGAATAAGAATCTGGTGTCACAACCCTGGCTCTGCAAAACAAAAAGGTTGTTGGGGGGGTGTTGTTGGGATATTTTATTTTTTTAAATCGTCTGGCGCAGAGAGAGGAGCTGTGGATTATTGTTATTGATTTGTGCATCGGTATTTCTTAGGGTCAAAAACACTAAACTCATAATTGAAAGTGAAAATGTTTGGTTTATTTAATAAAAGATTACATGTTCCAATGTGAAAAGTGACAGTAGATTAGCTGCAATTTGGTGCTATAAATATGTAATTATTAAAAAAGAAACACCTTGAATTTCAGGGGGTGCACAGGGCTCCGTTGGCCGCCAAGACAATGGTATGGGAGACACTGAAGAGTAATCCCTAGAAACACACAAGGCTGCAGGACATTCCAGATTCCATGCAGCAGAGGAAACGTAAACTAATACCGACCCCATTCTGTCAGGAGTTCTGGGCAGAGCATATTTTTTTTTAACTTTTAGGGCCACAGTATGTACATCTGTAATCAGTCATTTCCAGGCTTTCTGTTTTATTCCTGACCATATGCAGGATGCTCTCATGGACCACCACTATAGTCAGGGAACATTTCAAAACTATTATGGCGTTTTCCTTAAAGCATCCGTCAAACCTTCCAATACTCTTTTGAGAGATTTCTAGATTGCTGAATGCAAAACCAACACAGAGCTTTTTAGGGAGGAATGTTTTGCAACACAGACTTCCCCAGAGGATAAAGCATGATGAGTCTCCAGTCCTGTACTGTTAGCTCTCTAGATCAGCAATCCAATATGGTGCAATTGTCATGCTGAGGTGCTTATGTGATGCCAACTCCTTGGCTTATTAAGTAAAGAAGCTTCATCTGACCTCATGCAACTTTGCCAATGATTTCCATTTCAATTGTATACAATTATGTAAGGTGTTTCAGTTCAAATGGGTTGGGAGGCTGATGTAGAACATCTACTTAAATCAGTATAGCATTTACCTCATTTAGTGATTCACTTACTGATAACCACGTCTATACATGCTGCAGGGATCTAATGTTAGCCTTGAATTTGGATGTAAAAAGCTTTGACCTACCCGACTCAAGGTGAAACTTTGAACATTTTGTAGGAAATGTTTCAAAACTGTGGCAGTTTATGAAGTACATGCTGAATAGGAAACCCCCCCCTGTCTTGTTCCATTTGGATAAATAAACTATAGGAAGGCAAGGATGCAGTCCCACCCTTAAACTATAATACATGCAACTTTGTACTGTACACTGTGTACCAGCAGATGTGTGTGTGTGTGTGTGTGTGTGTGTGTGTGTGTGTGTGTGTGTGTGTGTGTGTGTGTGTGTGTGTGTGTGTGTGTGTGTGTGTGTGTGTGTGCGCCTGCCTCTCGGGTCTCATTCCCTTGAGCTGTTGGATCAGAGTGACCTACAGTACAGCCCAGACACCACGGTAGACATTAAAGCTACCTTTGCTCCACCGGAGACTAGACCCAGACCTTTGTTTGTTTGCTCCTCAGGGTACGCAGTGTCCCTGTTGGCTCATACTGACTCGTTATGTTTTAACACTGGATGGATATTACACCACAGGCCAGATCTGTCCACTTTGATCCTCTTTTTGATCCTCTATTAATCACCATGAGAAATCTTATAGAGTGTGTCTGATGCACATGATGCAAGTGAAGGCACAATAAACACTTCCATGAATTTATATTAATAGCTAATTTCATCAGATGGGGAAAGGACTCGGAAAGAAAGACAATATGTGAGTGCACACAAAGTAGTTCAAAGCCTTTGCAAATATGATATTTTCATGACATCAAGGTTTTATTGTTGTGTAAATTATGAAATGCCCGCGAGGCAATGGGAGAGTCAATACGAAATGCACTTTTACCTTTGACTGTGTCCCCCATTGAGATGACGGGGCATCAGGCAATTCTATAGGGGAAAAGCGTTACATATTATACAACTATAGAGAAACCTTCAATTTGGTCGTCTTTCTGCTAAAACAACTGTATGTTGTATTCTCATGTAATCACGGTTTATAACACCAGTATGATAGGTAAAACTGCTTCAAGGCAAATTCTCCAGCTGCAACAAATGTGGGAAATATAAAAACTGTTGAAAGATAAGCACAAAATGAGCCTGTGAATTGTTTCCATCCCTGAAAAAGGAATCCCTAAATATTTTTAACTGTGGGTCAGTCGTATTGCATGGAACTGTATCCTGTATATCTATACATTTTGATTTACAGCATACATTTCCTGTTACATGGACTTTGATCCTTTCTTGGTGATCAAAAGGGAACAAGGTTGTCTTTTATTTACCTTAGGCGATAGCTACAACACACAGGGTTTCCACATGTTTCTGATTGAATTCTCTTTCCTTTCCAGCCTGGGTCGGGGCCTTGGCCATGGGCATGATCTTCTTCTGTTCACCTGTGGTCAGCATGTTCACAGACCGCTTCGGCTGCAGGAAGACAGCCGTCAGTGGGGCATTGGTGGCTTTTATAGGGCTGCTAAGTACATCCTTTGCAAAGTAAGCTACTGTGCATTTATTATTCAAGACATTACCCTCACAAAGTAGAAAAATAAATAATCATGATGATGAAAAGATTAGAAGTTGGTCACTAAACACTTAAAATAATCTTCTATGTCTCTTTTTTTGTTAGTTTTTTCTCAGAAAAGCAATTGCTTATTCTGCGACTCAAATAAAATCAGGTACAAACTGGGTCTGCACCTGTTAAAGCTGTAATGCAGCAGCAGTATGATGTTCAAATCTCCACCTCCATGCCTTTAACTTTACAGAATATTACAGAACTTGCTTAAACTTACATGGCAAGTATTGTTAAGTCAGTTTATAATCTAATATCACAAATCACAAAAGGGCTTTAAAATGTATAGCTAAAAAAACCCTCCATCCTTTAATCCTCTAATTAATAAATAAATGGTAAAACAAAACAAATGGTAAAATAATAACCGCATTATTCCTTTTTTACTTCACCTTTTTCTTTTCTGTTGTAGCTCCCTGAGCCTTCGCTATTTCACATATGGCATACTGTTCGGCTGTGGCTCCTCCTTTGCCTTCCAGCCCTCATTAGTCATCCTCGGCCATTACTTCCGCCAGCGCCTGGGTCTGGTCAATGGCGTGGTGACGGCCGGTGCCAGCCTCTTCTCCATGGGCCTCCCGGTTTTACTGAACAAGGTGGTGGAACCTCTGGGCCTCAGCAGGACCTTCCAGATCCTCAGCCTCTTCATGCTGGTCCAGGCCCTGCTGGCGTTGCTGTTCAAACCATTACTGCCTGCTGGGGGAGGCATGGGACCCCCAGGCATGGGTCCTGGCTCTGGAAAACCCCAAACCCAGTCAATGGCCACCGCTCAGGGGGGCAGCAGGTGGAGCAGGCTCCTCGGTGGGGTCAGGAAGTCATTCAACCTGCGGGTGTTTCACATCGTGACGTACCGAGTGTGGGCGTTTGGAGTAGCTACAGCTGTACTCGGCTACTTCGTGCCATACGTCCATCTGGTAAGAACGATAAGGGGCATGCTCCTAGCTTCAATTGAGGTATCTCAAATCAAGACATGGAAAGTTTTATATGGATACTACCATTATTTGATTGGTATGTGAAAAGCATAATGGGGGTAGATCAGGCAGAGTTGTATAGGTATGAGTCTGACAAAATTAACACAAAATGACGTTACGTTTGTCATCTTAGATTGTTGGAAGAGCTACCAAGCAAATATTAATCGGGAAAAACAAAGTTCAAATGCTTATGCAGGGTATATGCAGGAATCCTGAGGTCAAATTTAATACCTTTTAAGACCTTTTTTAAGACCCTTTCCATACATTTTAAGACCTCATCGCAACTTTGAGTTCTAACCGGTTACATTGGCGACACACTTTACCTCACATTTACTATATTGATTGTAAGATAGCAAAACTAAACAGAGTGCAGACTGACCACTGAAGCCTCCTCTCCACATGAACTTCAACCTCTCTGTGAAGGTCAGGTTTAATGCAGTATGCTGCTTTGTTGCTTCTGTACTCTGTGCTCTTTCATTCCAGTAAAACTCCTCAGAAACGAGTATTTGACCAATAAACAAAACAATTGACAAAACTTTGAACTATGAAATATATTAAACTTTGGTGAGCTTCAGCGGGGTAATGCCATATAGGAGCTCCCTCACAAATATCCAGGGGTTAAATTGGGCTGGGGCTGTCCGGGGCTAAGCCCTGGCACATAGGACGATGCTCTGACGTCATCACCCTCACACATTTGTCGTATGTTTACAAAAAAGGATATATATGTTAAGACTTTTCTCGTTCTTAATATAGACTATATTAGGGTCGATATGTGTTGACTTTACTTTAAAATAGCAGATCTCTGTGACCGGATATAGTTTGGCTTGGACCCCGGCCCCACGAGGACGCATACGATAAAACGCATACGCAAGCGCAAAAAAGTCTTCCGTTCACACACAGTTCGATTCATAACGTGTCCGTCTCACACTAAACCCGCTGGACCTGCTGGAAATGCTGGCAAGTACATATGCCAGGCCTGTAAGGGCGCTGCTCCCGCCACAAAATACCACCAAAAGCAGCGAAGACGATCCCGGAGCATGGTTGCCATGGTCTGCCCTTCTTTATCTCTGCGGTGGGACGGCGTGTTCTCCTGCTGTATACCTCAGTAGTCCACCAAGCGGCCGGATTAACCATACTCGGGCAACCTGGGCGCAAGTGCCAGGGGCCCTTCGAGCAAAGAGGGCCCTCAGTGACAAGATTAAAAAATAAAAAAAAAGTTTTTTTTTTTTCTTTTTCGGGCACAAACCTCACTCATCATACATTGTTTTAACATGAACACTCACTCTTCAACCATAAAAACACAGCTTTTCTAAGGGAAATTAATATAATTGTCTTAACACCGTCTCCTATGTATGCGCTCACTTATTACGTACGCGGCGGCGGTGTATAGCCGAATCACATCCCCCACCCTCACGTCATTGTCACATTTTGGACTGCCATACGGATAGCCGGGAGTTTTCCCGGTGGGCGGTGCTGTTTGTGGGCCGGAGGTTCGCCAGAAAATTGAAAAAAAAATACAAGTATGCCGCGCATTAAGTGGGCCTGTCCTGTCAATTAACACCCTGGGCATCCTTTTCCCCCAGTCCGCCACGGTTTTCGGGGGGGGGGGGGGGGGGGGGCATGAGCGCTCAGTGCCCAGGGGCCCCTGGAGTACCAAATCCGCGCCTTGGTAGTCCACACAGCAGATGAACAACACCCACCCTCTCCGCCTCTTCCAAGGAAGCAGAACGAGCGGACCGTGCGGCAGAGTTTCCGTTAAAAAATGTTTCCGCCGGTCAACATGACCGTTAAAGTTTAAAATCTTCCGTACAAAATTAGAAAAGTGCCAGTCAGAAGTCTTCTTTGTTATTTATTGAGCTTTAAAACAAATTGATAACGACTCTGTTCTCTGTATAATAATATAATAATATTTAATAAACAGTGCCTGCCTCTCTTTTCCTCCCCCTCTTTTCCTCCCTGTGAGACGTGGGAAGAGGGAGGCGGGGCTATTTCATCGTTATCAGAAAATGATCATATAGGGCTTACACACGGAGCCTTTGGACCCCCAAGAGCGTTGCGTATGCTGGTCTACCCACCTTGGGACCTGGGACCCGTTATCTTTACCGTAGTCGTTTAGTGCCCCCCCCCCCCCCACAGAGCGGAGCAAGGCAACGAAACTTAAAATAAGAAGCAGCATTTTACTGCGCGCTATGCATGGGGCCGCCTTGAGGGGGTTTCCCGACATGTCGTTTCAGTAAATTAAAAAGGGTGTTTCATGTTGTCGTTGCTGTGGGACTTCTTAATACCTTGGAAAATGCCGTTTAATACTTTTTAATAGCCTTAATTTTCGCTAAATTGATTTATCAACTTTTAATACTTTTTAAGACCCCGCGGACACCCTGTTATGGGAAGCCAAAACTTTAACTTACCTGGTTTATTTACTTAATCCAATCTCATGCAACTTTTACAGCAAATTTCAGCTTGTTCTGTTCGGCTACTGGTGTGGTTTTTGATCTCCAATACCACTGCTAACAACATGCTCCCATGTTTTGTAAGCTACAGCAAACGTTTGTTTACATTGTTTCTTGTTCCCCTGCCTGCACTCAGCTTGCCAGCTGCTTTCAGTCAAACAATAACATGCCCCTCCAGTGACTTGAGGTAGAAGGAGCTTTTCTGATACATTTCCAAAGGCATTTTCCGGTTTCCTTTTAATATAAAAAGGTATTGACAATATGTGTAAAATAACACTGATTTATTTTTGACTGCAACAAGGGAATTTGTGATTAACATTGGACAGTATCACAATGTATCACAATGTTACAATTTGGGTTTTCCATCATGATTAGAATCCAATATTCATGGTATTTCACAAAATCTGATCTCTGGCCTACTGGTGTGAAATAGTGAGATAGTGACGGGTGAGGATGAAGTGTAAAGCTGCAGCGTGGAGCTGTGAAGTTGATCTCCCTCTTTCCAGATGTCGGATGTTCCCGCTCCGGCCTCCCTCCGTCAGGCCTGTTGTTTCAGGCCGGGCCCAGATGTAAACACAGCCCCGGTCTTTGTATTGGCTCTACCACCTCAGGAAACCTCTCCTGTATGGCCTCTCTGTGTCCCTAAACATGCCTAGCCTATGGCCATTGATGAATGTAGAGCCCTTCAAAGCAGAGCAAATATTCCGCAAGTTCAGGAAAGACTTCAGAGGGCGGTTTAAAGTTTTCTGATTTATGTGGTTCGGGCTGGGGGGAGTGGGAGAGTCTGACCTATATGCGTTGGTTCTTCCTGCCCTGCTGTTCCAAAGGTCTCTGGATGAAGACATTTAGTTATTGTTAGACCTTTGCTTTGGGGTTATGGATGGTCCTCCACCCCGACAAATGCACACCACGCATTTACTTAAATATCTTCTTAAGCATGAAGCACATAAACATACGAAACATTTCCCAAGCAGGATGTGTGTTAACCCACTGTTAGGAGCTTCTAATAAGTCATTGTGCAGCACACTTACATTTAACCCCTAAACATACGGCCAATCCTCAATCATGCCTTTTTTGTGTCTCTTAGATGAGTTTTGTGAAGCAGCAGTTCAAGGGAACCCAGAAGGAGTGGGTTCTCCTGGTCTGCATAGGAGCTTCATCTGGGGTGGGACGCCTTGCTTTCGGCAAGATTGGAGACCTCCTTTCTGGTCTGCAAAAAATCTACATGCAGGTGAGGAAATGTTTAGAGGCATAACATGTGAAGGAGGTGTGTGGCGTAGTGGCTTCAAACCCCACTGCAGTCAGCATGTCGTTGTGTCCCTGAGACACTTCACCCCAAACTGCTCCTGTGGGGATTGTCCACAGTATTGAGTATGTAAGTCGCTTTGGATAAAAGCGTGTAAAAAACATGCAATGTCAGTGTTTCCCGTACATTGATTTAATTGTGGCGGTCTAATGGATAGTGAGGTGGGCTGATGATCGGAAGGTTGCGAGTTCAAATCCCGCCTGGAACACCACTACTAGTGTGCCCTTGAGCAAGGCACTTAGCCCCCAGTTACTCCAGGGACAATGTGCCTGTAATTGCTCATTGTAAATCGCTTCGGAATAAGGCGTCTGCTAAATGCCTAAATTGTAAATTATATTTTTGGGAGAATAAACCCCACAGATCCTCAACTCCGGTGTGTCTCACTCATTAACAACGCAACACAGAGCAACAAGAACGTTGTCTACAGTAGCCATGAAGCAATGAACATTTGAGGGGGGGGTGGATGCGTGGGCCACCCGAATAGGTTAAGGCAGTGGTTCTCACACTTTTTCTACGTTTATGCATAGGGTAGATTCTTTTAATTACATTTCCTTTTTTGTTTTGTGTATTTTATACATTTTGGATTTGCTTGGCGAGCTATTTTTAGAACATGCCCGGCGGGCGACTGAGTGCCCGCGGTAGATAGTTAACTTAAGTTATCTCAGTGGGTCTCAAATGTTTTGGTCACCATTGATGTAAACAATTATTTCCGAGGCACACGTTTATATGATCATTATAGTTATAAAAAATAAGAGAATAAATGAAAAACAGGTATGAAATACTATATGACAGTAAAAAAATAATAAAGTTTAAAAGGGTGACTTGTAAAATATCCATAAAGAAAAAGTAAAT